AAAAATAATTAATGGTTAATAATAATTATAATAAGGAAAAAATATTTATTGAGAAAAAGAATGAAATGCTAAAAACCTGATTTTTATGTATTTTAGTGATTAAAGAAAAACATTAAAATTAAACCTAAAATTAAACTAATTTGGTTATTAGAATTTATTTACAAAATTAATAGAAATTAATATTAATAAAAACATATTTTTTTTTTGTTTTATGACTTTCTGGTTTTTTTTTGTGTTATAAAATTATTTTGTGGAATTAATTAAAAAGACAATAAAACAAATTAAAAAGAATTAAAAAGAAAAAGAAAGAAAAATTAAAAAAAGAAGAAAACAAACAGCAGGGGGGTGTCTGGCCCCTTTGGAGGAGGTTCATAGAAAGCAGTTTGGCCCAAACATTCCAGGCCCACGTTGACTTTCAGCGTTTGTGTGAGGAGCTGTTGACCAATGCATATGGTGATCTGCAAATTCTGGCCATTGGATGGAGCCTTTGGGCGCGTGGCAAGCCAGATGGTGAAGGCATGTATTCCCTTGAGAACATGCTGCATGGAAATATATTGAACAAAATAATATTGGAGAAGTGAGGGACCTGGGAATCGAACCCAGGTCCCAAGACTTACCAATCACATTCCCAACCACTACACCATTCAACGCGTTTGTAACAATTCTTGATATTAAATATTATAACAAAAAATAAAGGTTAATGATATTCAACAAAAAAACGCGCTGGAAATTTGAATGTCCCAATCATGCTATGACACACAGGCTTCTTCCTCATTTTATACCTGCAAACAAAAGTAAATAGCGGGGGTTTTAAACCCCCACTAAACAAGACCAGGAAAAATAACGATTAAGCAATGGGCAATGATAAATTGGGCGCGAGGTGTGGGTTCAATCCGTCTTGTTGTCACGATTCCAATGGAGTTGGTCTTATGGTCCAATTTTTCCCCAGGAAAGAAACCCCAATTTCAAACCTCTGAAACCCTAGGCAGCTTCCATGGTGGATTCGTGTACAAGGCTTAAAAGTTCAATCAAAGAATGCCAACAGCTTTAGAATGCTCATGTTAGTATAAATCAGTGCTTAAAACATATGGAAAAGGTATGCAAATCAAAACACGAATATGAAAATATTTGGGAACAGGGCAACGTGGTTCTACCAATTCTTTAGGCCAGGCGTTTGATTCTTGATTGCAATCTCTTCCTGGATGTGTCAGGAATGTAATGGAATGGTTCTTTGGCTTGGAAAAGTGCTTTTGATGTGAAAACAGTTTCAAGCTTTTTGGCAAAAATTTCCAATGTTATTCTTGATCTTGGGCGCAGCCTCTGTGTTCTTGTGATTAGGTTTAGGTTTGTACATATATGTGGAATGAATTAGGTTAACCATCCAAGCCCAACAACCTTTGCATTGATGATTTGGATCCTTGATTTTCCATGTAATCTTTTTCAATCTTTTTCATGTCAATTATGCCAAGTTTGGAAGATTTTGCCCTTGTTGATTGGCACACGAAATATTGAGCATGTGATTGACCTATTTACTGCACAAAAAGATTTAAAACCAATGATTTGATATTTTTCTTATATTTAAAACTAATTAAATGAATAAATAAGGATAAAAATTCAATTAATTAATTAAAAATAAGAAAGTAAATCCCTTTGCGCTTAATGGGTCGTGCATATGCTTTGGATAATAATTCATGGAAAAAATTGAGGCCCATTAACAATTTTGAGGCATTTGAAGCAAGGTTGACTTTTCAAAATTCCCAAAAATTTCCCAACTTCCACAAGGCATATCTTGCTCAATTTTTAATATTTGATCATGTTCTTGGACATTTTGGAAAGGCCTTGAAGTCCTCTAACCAATGCCTTTGGTCCCATGTCATTTTGATTTACCAATCTCAAGTTATGGTCTTTGACTTAAAGTGTCTTTTTGTTGACTTTTTAAAATGACCTATAATGTTAAGATTGATAACTTTTTGTGAGAGAATTTATTGGACTTGAAGTGTGAATATAGTTGTAGGAAATGTCATTCTCTTCAAAATGAGCTTTGGATGGAATTTTTCTGATAAACCATGTGGAAGTTATGCCCTGGTCAAGTTACAGTTGACTTTTTCAACTGTCCAAAAATAGAAACTTTTGCACCTTGAGACTTCTTGAGCCATGCCTTGAGAATCATGATCCAGAATTGATCAAATGATGTTTGTGGCTTCAAAATAAGATGTTGACCAAAAATCTTGACTTTTGACTGTCAAATGACCATTTTGCCCCTGTAGTTGACTGTTGAGCAATTAGGGTTTTTGACTGTGCAATTTTGTGCTGTAAGTCTTGAAACTTGGCATAAGGATGCTTGAGAATGTTTATAGGCATGTGGGACTTGTTTGGACCCTTGAAAACTTCAATTTCTTTTCCAGAACCAAAACCCTAATTTTTGACTGTTAGGAGGCAATTGGACTGTGCAACCCTTGGGAGATTTTGAAGCCTGCTTTTTGTAAATCTTGAAGGATATGGGAGGGCAAATTTTGGGGTACAACAGCAGCTATGTCAAATAAAGTGGGGGTCATCATCCCACAAGGAAGATGAAAAGTGAAATGTGTGTTATCCCAAAAATACAATGAAGATACAAGCATAAGGGGGCAGTAAGGCAATTCTGTCTTCGACAACATCACCAAGTCATAAATGCCTATCTCCTTCCAGATAGAAGCTTGCGCCTTCTCCATTTTATTCAACCAGTATGAATACTCAGAGGAGAGGTTAGGGCTTGATCGAAAGATTCGGTTCCCTTTGTTCATGAACTGAAGGTTGATATCCTTTGTAGTTTGAGGATGCTGCTGGTTAGCCGAAGTAGCATCTTCAGGGTCATCCCTAGGCTTCTTCACACAACCTATGGGTCTAAGCCTTGGGTGAGTAGGGAAGAAGACATGGTTCTTCAAGGGATTTTTGACGCATGAAGATAACGGATCAGACATAGCATACATGTTTCCTCCACATCTAATGGGAATGAGGAGCTGAGAATCATATTCTTCTCGCCATTCTTTCGTCATGGGTTCAGTAACTTATCAATCGAGGAAGAAGGAGGGTTAGTGGAAAAGACCTTTGATGGTTTCTGGACATCATCAGCGTTTTTGGGTTGAGGATTGTTTGGTGCATTGGAGAGGAAAGCCATTGTTAAGGATTTGAGAAAAATACGAAGTTGACAGTACAATGTTGTGAGAAAGCAAGAGATTTGGAAATGCTGGAAATGGTAAAAGTTCCAAATAGAAAGGCTCAGAAGTATTTATAGCCTTCAGAAGAGGGATATGTCTCGTCAAGGCCATTTAATGTTTCACAGGTAGTGGGACACATGGTGAAGTGTGAAACGGTTACCGTGCAGGCGTTGGGAAACGTTTTGACATGCTTGCCTAGGTTATTGGAATATGGCCATCATGGCAAGCATGGTAACGGTAGTTTGAAGAGACATCTTGGAGAAAGAGTAATGATGGTTTTCTCGAGTGCAGCAGCTGTTGGAAGGCGAAAAGCACACGTCAAGACCTTGTGGACAACTGGGAAGACATGTGTCGAATGGGAAGTTCAAAGAATGGCTATTTCTTTGAGCGTCGAAATAAACATTCTTGGGGGGCAATTTATTGGCTCCCAAATTCGACACTTACTATATTTGGTCTTTTAGACCAGATAACTGGAATGAACCAAGCCAAGAAGAATGATTCGACACATGAAATAACTTAGGGAAAAGATCTAAGTTATATTTGAATCTTCGACCAAGGGCTCATCTTCAGGTTCATTCGACTGAAGAAGACTTATGTCACTCGACTAAGAGAAAGTATCCTCGCTTTGACACATGATATGAGGACTATTTGAATTTTGAATTATTGGAGGGAAAGGCAGTTTCGTCAGTGTTTAAGAAGAGGCAACGTGACTGAAAGCCATAGGTCGGGGGACATGCAGAAGACACTTGTCTTCATCCTAGCGCAGAATGTTCCCTCGACGGTTACTTATTTTTAGTATAAATTAAGAAACTTGTGTAATTTTCAAGTGTGTTTAACCTATTGTTCTAAGTCACTCAAACATTATCCAAGTAACTGCTGCGTGAGAAAGGATAACGACTGAGAAATGTATGTTGGAAACACCTTTTTTCCTTAATGAAAGTCCTTTACATTACTTTACTATTATCCTGCAAAGTTATCTTTTTTACTTCTTTTACTTGCATTTCTATACTTCTGTTTACTTTTCCAAAATCTTAAACATCCTCTCTCTGGGTCGAACGTGCGTTCTTCCTGCTTATCCATTTTACATAAAAATTAGCATATGTCCTAGGATTAATCTGATCGATCCCGTAAGTAAACCAAAAAGAACTTGCCTTTTTGGAGATCAGCGGTTGTTTACCAAAAACAACGGTAAACACAATCATAGTTAAGATATTGGAATAAAGTGGTATTTATCCTCGTTTATTTAGTCATGAGTAATTTTGAAAGTTTAATTTTTTTTATATATTTAGTTTCCATATTTTATCAATTAGTAATTATGTTCGTGTTCATTCAGTGATTCCTGACAATTGATTATTATCTATCCTTAGCAGAATACGATAATTGTGATATGTTCCTTAGGCAAACAAGTTAAACTAAAGATGAAATGCATAGTTGAGGGATATAAATCATTGATCACCTGAAACTATCTATTGGAAGTGAATAATTGATTTAGAGAAAAAGTTCATTTTTTAATTTACTTAAAAAAATGAAATTTAATAAAATGTAATAAATAAGTAAAAAAGTGAAAGAAAAAGAAATTACAATGAATCAATTTTCTCAATAAATCCATCATGAACATAACGGACAAAACGGGTGACAATTCGCATATTTAGTTGCGTGGCAACAAGTGGAGGAACTAGTAAAATAAAACACTTAACCAAACCAACAATGAGACGGAAAAGAGTTTGTCATTTTAGATGGAGCATGAATCTCTCTATTACTCTTATACTTTGAAGAAGGAAACCGAACAAGTTATGTTTTAGAATGGGAAACGGTCCTAGCTCTCTCTTTTACTGTTCCTATTTGCAAAGCTTCGTAGACCGCATCAACACCAACGAGAAGCTTCCATGTTCTCTCTTTGAAGCAAGCAAGGTAAACAATATCATTCCTTTTTTCATAAATATTTGCAAATGATATTTTGGGTCTGTTGCAAAAAAAGGGTTTTGATCACCTAAGAGAAATCTGTTGTTTGGGAATCAATGAAATATGTTAAACCTAACTGTTTACCTCTTTATCTACTACAGGATTCTTTTGTATGCTATATAGGCCATAGCCATAGTAGATTTTGATCATGAAAATGGTGAGGGTTTTAAAGATTGTTAGCTCAATACAGCTCCTCTGTTGCAAATGGTGAGAGTTTTAAAGATTGTTAGCTCTCCTCTGTTGCAAGGTGAGTTTTTATTCATGTAGATTGGGATACTTTAGTTGTTAAAGGTGACTGACTGGGTATCAGACTCAAGTCCCACATCATCTACTTAGTAAAATAACCTATGCAACTTACATATAAAAAAAAAGGACCTCTGAATGCTTCTACTTACGGAGCCGTGTGATGATGACATAGCGAACTATTCTTTCGCCTTTTACTAAAGAATACCGTGTCAGCGTCACAATTTGTGGCATACGCGAGTTTTTGGAAGAGTCCTATTCATTTAGGGCTCTGCAAATTTAGTTCTAAGTTTATCAATTTTCATTCATGTTGATTCTTCAACTCTTAAATTCAACAATTTGTTATTGCCAATTATTGCTGATTGTTGTTTGTGCTTAGTTTTCCGGAGGCTAGTTTGAGTATTTCCCATCAACATATTGGTGTATCCTTCAGTCTTCTGTGTAAGTTATTTTACTAAATAAAACTGAAATTTCCTATTCTGTAAACTTTTTTACCCTTTTCATATCACGCCTTCTTGTTACTGTTCAGGTTGGTAAGATGTTTTTGAATCATAATCCTTCTGTTTTCTTGTCACTTTACAAGTGAGAAAACAAGATTAAGAATTTGTTATGCTGGCCTTTAGACAAATCACTTAGCAGATGCTTCAACTTTAGACAAATGGAATAATAGACGAGACTCTTAGACCCCTTTGATACCGGTGAATTGATGATTGGCTAATTTTTAAACACTATTAGTTGTCTCCTTCCCATTGAAGTTGTTACTTTTTATACTCTAAGTGAAATACAGTGATTGGATAAAACGTTTGAAATCTTGACATGTTCGGCAGTGGTTTGGTTTGTACAGTCTGTATGCTTAATCATTCTGTTCGAAAAAGTTAAATTAATCATCTTGTTGTGCAAAAAAGACTACCGTCTGTTTCATCTTTGGAGTTTGTTTTTAGTGCATGAATGGTCTGCTGACCTGCGTCTGTACACTAAGGTAAAGCCTCTTTGTCTTCAACAGGATTCTTTTGTAAGCTATAGCCATGGTAGATTTTGATCAAGAAATTGGCGAGGTCTGCAAATAGATAAGAATTTGTTATGCTGGCCTTTAGACAAATCACTTTTGCAAGCTGTGCATATCTATCTATATGCTCACATGCGAGGAATTTTACACTAATTGCCACCTCCATTAGAATCCAAATAGATAAAGTTTATATAATCATATTGCAAATGTTGAGTCCAGATAATTTTTGCAGAATTGTTGATGTGTGTTTCAGGTTATGACAAAAATAATTAAAATTGGAATTTGTGAATTCTTGCAGAATGTGAATATACTAGTTGTGTAGAAATCTTCTATTGTCTAATTCAAAAAGTTGTTGCTGAAATAGTTCATAAATTTTTTTGCTTCTTGATCTCATTTTTCTTTCTGTTTTTTGAAATTTAGAGTCCAACTCCTTGAATGCCTAGAGGATCAATTTAACTCTTGCCTTTGAACTACCTTGAAGGCTTACATGAGTTGAAGAGTGCAATGTTGTTGAATGTTATTCATGTGTTGATTATTGAGGTTTTGTAATTTTATTTATGTTTTGCTTTAGTTGGTCTAATTGTGCCTTTTGAGCCCACTATGATAAGTTTCTTTCAATGAAAGATGTAAGAAATACATCTTAACAGTAGCACACAACATTTAATTATATAATTTTAGAATTTTCATTAACTCTTCTTATTTGATCACTAATATCCTTCATCATACTTATTTATGCACAATTTGCCTAATCATTATGCTCATAACTCGATGTTAACTTCCAATCTACTCTATTATCTGCCTCCAAACCTTGCGCCGCCGAAACTCTGAAATAGAAGGCGAAGCGAACTCATAACCACGAAGATCTTCGTCTTTGATTCTATGGTATGGTAGAAACTCATCTTCATCCCTTCCAAATCTCTTACTTTACCATTATTTTTGCTGCATCATCAACCCAATGAAAACACTACAACTGTTATCGTCCTATCTTGCTTTATTTTCAACATCGCTGAAGCTAACTCAAGGTATGTTTCTCACGATTTTCCATTCATTTTAGTTTTTATGTTGTTTTGGTTTTCATGTTTTGATATCTTTGATTTTAACTATTTACATGTTTATCAACTATTCATCAACTGCGAGCTTCATCCACGGGGAAACACTTGAGAAAGGTACGTTGAATCTATTTCGGATAATCATGTGTTTCTGCATTTCGTGTAACCCATTTTTGTTTTTGTTGAATCATTGTTTTCGTTGACCGTTGATTTTACGTTTTTCGTTTTTATTGTCCAGTAAAGATTAACTTAAGCATCATTGATATTTGGACAATTCAACCATCAAAACTCATTTCTCTCTCTTGTCATGTTCAAAAAATTTCTTTCCTACGGGACACCAAGAGGTAATGAAAATTTCTTTTCCATCCTTCTCATGAACAAAATATTTACTCAATACTCTTCTTCTTTTAACTCTATTTTTTGTTTTCTAATTTGCAATTTCTTTATTCTAAACAGATTTTCACACTTTGAGTTCTATAAAAGTATGTTCATGTTTCGATTAACATTGAGTTCAATGACTTTTTGGTTTTGACATTTCATTTTTATAGTTGATTTGAGTTGTACACTACTTATCTAAGGTTTTATCACAACTCCTCTCAGAAGCTCATGAGACTGTGTCATTTTTTAAATGCAAGGGAGGTGTTTGATAAAATGCTATGTAAAAAGTAAACAGATGTTGGTGAACTTTTTTAGCATCTATGTTGTTTATTTTCTTTTATTGAATTCCTTTTTTACATAGTTATTTATTTCTAATATTTTAAACATTCCAGAGTCCCAACGGTGGATCTTAGGAAAAAACATACACCAATTTGTCGATTCAATTTCTTGTGTAGATCAATTTTATCGTGCATAGCTAAATGTGGAGTAAAGGTGAAAGCTGAAAACAATAAACAAGTAGGATGACACAATGGAATCTGTGTCAATATGCTTTGCCCTGAGGTAAGAGTTGTTTTTGGACACCAAAGAATGATTGTGTTTTAAATGTGTTTCTAAGGAGAACTGAGCCCCTTATCATTTCAGCCAACATGAATTGATTTTAAATGTGTTTCTATTTTCAAAATAAATTCTTAAAAGATAAAACTCTTTTGTGAAGCTTCCATTTTGAATCAATGAAATGACTAGTCATAGTCATATAACCCATCCTCTGTTCACCAGACCACCACAAGTCAGTGGTAAGACTGACCCTGTTAATCAAAGTCATAGACCTTTTCATCTTAACTCTCTCAACCTCATAATATGTCTCACAATCAAACTTAACATGTTGCATAGTAATCTTTTTGTACCATGGAAAAATCTCTCTTAGAAACTCATTAAATATAACACCTTCCATAACAAAAAAAAAAGGAAATTCATGACCTAGAATCATATGTGCTGCAATTTCTCTAATCCTAGCATGATTATATGTCCAAGTTTCTAAATTAAGAGTATTATCACCTATGTTTAACCTAGATTGTGCAACATCTTTGTCATTATTACCTTTCAACATCAACTTTCTCTGAATACAAGCTTCTAAATGTTTCTTACCATTATAGGTACTTTTCCACTTCGTATCATATGTCTAAAGCTTACCATACCATCTGCACTTCAACTTCTTAATGCCATCGGGTCCTTTAATAAGCACCACTTCAGTATGAACAACAATTTTTTTTAGGATGAGGAGCTTTCCCTGACTCTCAGAACTTTGATCTTGGTCAACTTGAGGGGTTGACCCATGAGTATTGGTAGTATTTTGAGTAGTGTTATTTTGAGTAATAATATTTTCAGTGGGGTATTTTGAGCAGTGTTATTAGTTAGAACTGGAAGCTCCAAATCAATCATCTCACTAATCTCTAAGTTACCTAAATTCATTGTCTCCTCTTCCCCAATGTTACCAAGCAACATATTAATATCAATTAAATCATCTATGGTTGGAGTCAATGAGGAATCTTGAAAAGACATGGAAGAAAATACAAACAATCAAACAATAATGTAATAGAAAATTAGAACAAAGCTCAGCAACAAAAGCCCTACTTTATTAAGAACAGAAGACAAACAATTATTCAAAATTCTAGTCGTACCTTTATTATGACCAAAACTCAGCAATAGAAAATCTTAATCCTTTATTATTATTAATCAAACGTGAAACACAAAACTCATGTCAAAATTATAACATGCATTTACAAACTCTCAAACAATCAAAATATTTAGGTCAGAAAGTAACAAAATATTTTAAGTAAAAAAAATAGGTCAAAACTGAAACATGGTAATAAACGATTCATCAAATCAAACATGAAAACATGGTAAACATAAGGAATAATATAAGAAAAGTAACAAACCAAATAGGTTGAAATTGAATACATTACAAGTTTATGGAAGCCTTGAACGATCAACTCTAACTCCCTCTGAAACAAATATACTCAACACTCACAAAGAAGAAGAAGAAGAAGAACACGTAAAATCAGTAACATTATACTAAAGTGTTTGGCGTGAGCGTGATCAGAAAGAGAGAGGGGAAGAGGAGGTCGTCAGAAGAAGGAAGGAGAAACACAGAGAGCGTAACTAGGAGTGAGAAAAGTGAGGAAATGAAAACAAAATTTATATTATTTATTCCATTTATTCATTGGATAATTGGTCCGAGTCTGCATTTGGAAATCAGATTAAAATTTTATCCATGTATGCCTTGTTTCGGTCGGTCCAATAGGTCAGGTCTATCGGTCTGATTCTCAAGTGGATTTTGATTCCTGAAACCCAAAAACAGCCCTAGTCTCAAGTCCCATATCGACTATTTTCTTATCATTAATAGCTAAGATAACTATAAATAAAGGATTATGCAACTTCTCTCCCACAAAGATTTCTACAATTACTCTTATTGAGTAGTCATTATTTGTTTTTTTTTTGCTCAATTTGTGAGTTAATTTGGAATGCTAAAAATTACATCCTTAACTCATACTAAAAATCATTTAAATTTTTTAATAATTAGTTTGTGAGTTTATGTGGCATGTTTAGATTTGCAAACTTAACTCTAAATAAATTAGTTTATGTTTTTTTAATTTACTTAAGTGATTTCGATTTGTTGGTGTGAGTTTATGTGGCATGCTTACAATTGTAAACTTGACTCTAAATAAATTAGTTTATGTTTTTTAATTTACTGGAGTCATTTCGGTTCGTTGGTTTACACGAATTTAATTAGTTTGTGAGTTGCTTACAATTGCAATCTTAACTCTAAATAAATTAGTTTAAGTTTTTAATTTACGATTGATTTACACAAATTTATGGAGAATTGTCGGTTTGTTGGTTTACATGAATTTATGGACATTTAAGTGAATTAAACTCTGATATCATCATGAAATTCTTCACGGTGATGAAGAAATGAGTAAAACAAACAAAAATATGAAGCTTTGTGTAATACGGTGGGAGAATTGATTTTTGGGTTTATGTTTTATCGCAAATGTTGCGGATAACAAGAGTCGCCACCAACTTTTCTTTTATCCAAATAAAGGAAA